GGTTAAGAGTTCCAGCTGCTAACCAAAAGGTCAGCAGTTCGAATCCACCAAGCACTCCTTGGAAACCCTATGGGGTAGTTCTACTCTGTCCTGTAGGCTTGCTGTGAGTCAGAATCAACTTGATGGCAACGGAGTTTTCTGAGCTTTCAGCTCAGATCTCCTGTTTTCACAAGGCCTTTCTCTTCCCCAGAATGGCAGAATTAATCCAAATATGAGGAACGCGTGGCTAATAATCTTGATGGGTTTGGCAGAAGAAATGCCAGTCTTTTTGCATTTACCCATGACTTAGATCTGGGCCCTATGGCCCAGCTTTCAGGCCTTGCTAGCCACTCGACACCTGGAGTATGAGGGCCAGATCCGTGTTGTGCTAACGTTAAATGTCCCTCACCACTTGTGGGTAGAACCCAGAGGTGGAAGGGCTCAGATTCGCTGCACGTGCTTCTTTACTTCTGGTGCCATCCTCTGTCTTTCTGCCACGCTTCCATAAGTCACAGCATTTTGCACGTGTGCCCATGAAGAGCAGTAGCTCCTTTGCTGAAGATGGTATTCTGTGGCTTGCATCCTGTACTTCTCAGGAATCCAGCAACTTTGGACCATCTTTGAATTGTGTCAAGAGCTGCCTACATTTCCGTACCTAAGCCCTAATTTGTGGTCACAGTTGATAAGCTTGTGCATATTGCCATTTTTCTCCCACATATTCTTGATATGAGGCTTTTTTTCATGCCAGTGTTTGTTGGCTCAGTGTAACAGCCTTCTTTTGATTTTCTCTAAAGCAGCTTTTTTGTTTGTTTGTTTATTGTTGTAGTTTAAGTGAAAGTTTACATTTCAAGTTAGTCTCTTATACAAAAATACATGCATTGTTATGTGACCCGAATTGCTCTTCCTATACTGTAACAGCACACTCCTCCTTTCCACCCCTCATTCCCCATGTCCATTCAACCGGTTTGTAACCCTGTCCGCCTTCTTGTCTCACCTCTGGACAGAAGCTGCCCATTTAGTCTCATGTATCTACTTGAGCTAGGAAACACACTCTTCACGAATATCATTTTATGTCCCACAGTCCAGTCCAATCTTTGTCTGAAGAGTTGGCCTCAGAAATTGTTTTAGTTCTGGGCTGACAGAGAGTCTGGGGGCCATGCTTTCCGGGGTTCCTCCAGTCTCAGACCATTAAGTCTGGTCTTTTTACTAGAATTTGAGTTCTGTACCCTGCCTTTCTC